AAAATGTAACTCACTCTTCTGTCTATAATTTTGATAACTACATAAATATATAATTAGTTGTCCAAATAGATGCAAATAATTCATTTTTGTTTTAATTATTCTTCCCTCCCAGAGCCTCCAGGGGTTCTCCCTTTTCCTGAATCCATGAACATCTGCTCATCAGTCCCCACCTACTTCACCTCTGCTCCTGCTAGAGTTCTTCATTCCCCTTTCCCAGCCCTGGGGACTGCAACAGGGTCCCCTCTCCCCCTTTCCCTGGCTGGGGGTGGCAGTTTCAGAAGCAGAGGCAACATCCTGTATGTGCAAAAACACCGAGGAGTCCTTGTGGCGTCTTAGAGACTAACAAATTTATTTGGGCATAAGCTTTTGTGGGCTAAAACCCACTTCATCAGATGCATGGAGTGGAAAATACAGAGGCAGGTATAAATACACAGCACATGAAAAGATATACCTGCCTCTGTATTTTCCACTCCATGCGTCTGATGAAGTGGGTTTTAGCCCACGAAAGCTTATGCCCAAATACATTTGTTAGTCTCTAAGGTGCCACAAGGGCTCCTCAGAGTTTTTGCTGTTACAGACTAACACGGCTTGTGGCTGAACTGGGGGCTGGAGCTTCCCATGTCATTGTGAGATGGGCTTCAACACCCTCTAAAATCCCACTACTCATGATAAAATAGCAAGAGTTGGCAATATTGTTATAAGAAAGAAAAAAATCCCCTCTATCATGTACAACAGAGCAGTTTACAGATGGCTGCACATCCTATTGCATGAGGACACTTTTCTATTGCAAAAAACAACAACAAAAAACTGACATTGATACTGTTTCTTTAAATCAATAGCAGGAAGCAAGGCAGGAGAGGGTCTAATGTTGGTCCTAGGCAGAAGCTCTGCAGTGAAGCAGAGAGACAGTGTGAGAGAGTAGCCGTAACAATAAAACTGCTTTTCTTATTCTAAAAGAGTTCCTTGTTCAGTGTTAAAAGAAAGTGACTGATTTTTTTCACTATTGTCACATGTCAAAAAGAGGGGCAGAAGCATTCAGCCAATCAAGAAATCCAAATGTTTTATCAATGAGTAAATCAGATAAGGAATATTGCATTTTCCCATTATAAACTAAGTGGAAAACACACCAAATATAATAAATGTATATTAATATCACAATTCCAGACTATTTCATTGTAGCCATAGTGTAACTCTGAGTGTGCTGACATAGAAACTGCATTGGTAAAAGCATATCTCATAGAAATGTCACAGACCTGACTAAGCCTATGGGTATTGCATGAAATGAGCTCATCTAACTTCAGTAGTGTAATAAATGTCTAACGTAGGGTACGTCCAGACTACCCGCCGGATTGGCGGGTAGCGATCGATCTATTGGGGATTGATAGATCGATCCCCGAATGCACTCCCATCGACTCTGAAATGTTCATAACTCTGAACAAAGCGTTATGATTGGTTTTTCAGAAGTTACAACTGAACACTGATTTAATAGAGCTTTGAAATTTTACTATGCAGAAGAAAAATGCTGCTTTTAACCATTTTAATTTAAATGAAACAAGCACAGAAACAGTTTCCTTACCTTGTCAAAAAAAAAATTTAAACTTTCCCTTTATTTGTTTAGTAGTTTACATTTAACTCAGTACTGCACTGTACTTTTTTGTCTCTGCTGCTATCTGATTGTGTACTTCCAATTCCAAATGAGGTGTGTGGTTGACTGGTCGGTTCATAACTTTGGTGTTCGTAACTCTGTGGTTCTACTGTAGTGCTCACCTGCTAGCTCCCCACCACTATGTCATACAGTCAAACGCAAACTATAAACCAGTTCAAAAGGAACAAAAGGCTGTGGCTGCCTGCATCCTAAAGGGTGAAGTTAAGGTGTTTAATTATTCAGTTTGCAGAACCATTCCATTAAAATCAAGAGATAAATTTGTTCACTATTAAAGAATTATGGTTGAAGGTGAAGGGGGCTGCAGGGAACATAAACAACAAACTATGGCAAATAACATACAAATGGGAAAACAAATAGGATCCAGGCATTTGAAAAAGAGCTACGGGACCACAGGGAACTACTGTATCTACAAACAGAAATATATTTTACCTGACATCATCTTGTGAGAATCGCCTTTGTAAATCCTCTTTTTTTCTCTGTTTTTTCTCTTTACCTTCCTCGGTTTGATCATCATGGATCTTTTCATCATCTCCTGATTCTTTGCTTTCCTCCTTATCCAAGTTTTCTGTCACCTCTTGCTCTTCCCTCTTTTCATTAACTTGTTCTTGCTTCACTTTTTCCTCAAGCTCCTGCTCCTCCTCCTCAGGAAATATCTCCTCATGCTCATCCCCTTCCTGTCCTCCCTCTTTTCCCCCCTCTATATCCCTTGACCTTCTGAAGTCAACACAAATTGAGGAAGGCATGCAAACAAAAAAGAAGATAAAGTAAAGTTAGGTTGTAGAGAAGAAGCATGCATGCAGTACACAAAAAGAAATTTAAAAGAAAAGAAATAAATTAAAAGGGAAAATGTAGTGATAGGTAAAAGCATGCTGGCCAACTTCCAGCACAGGCTAGACAAAGGTTAAGATGCAACCATTTTTTTAGGACAGTCTGTAATGCACATACATATTTTGTATACAAAGTTACACGCTGATAAATCACACAAAAGGTTGCATAAACACATGGAATGCACAATTCTGTGTTCCAGACAATATCAATTATGCAAAATGAGAGATACTTAAACCTACCCTTTTTTAAAAACATAATTTCTCTTGGGAGGGGAAATTTCCCAGAATTAGGAATATTAGTGCCAAAATATTTAAGGCCCAATCTTACATTCCTTTTGTGCCCAAACTCCCACTGAGTTTGATTGATGTTTTGAGTGTTCAAGGAATGGAAGGTGAGCCCATTTCTGCTTTCAAATACACTGTGCAACTCTTATTAAAGACTAGACAATGAGCAATATATTTATTATTATTACTGGGTCCAGTATCTATAGAAGCACTTTACAAGAGGTTTTAAAAGTCTGGCAATTCAAGTAGGGCTGTCAAGCGATTAAAAAAAATTAATCGCAATTAATCACACGATTAATTGCATTGTTAAACAATATTAGATTACCATTTATTTAAATATTTTTGGATGTTTTCTACATTTTCAAATATATTGATTTCATTTACAACACAGAATCCAAAGTGTACACTGCTCACTTTATATTTATTTGATTACAAATATTTGCACTGTAAAAAACAAAAGAAATAGTATTTTTCAATTCCCCCATCACAAGTACTGTAGTCCAATCGCTTTATCATGAAAGTTGAATTTACAGGAGATAGTGCTGCCCACTTCTTGTTTACAATGTCACGTGAAAGTCAGAAAAGGCATTCGCATAGCACTGTTGAAGCCGGCATCGCAAGATATTTAGTGGCAGAGGCGCTAAAGATACATATGTCCCTTCATGCTTCAGCCATCATTCCAGAGGACATGTCTCCATGCTGCTGATGAGTTCTATTTGATACCAATCCAAAGCAGTACGGATGGACGCATGTTCATTTTCATCATCTGAGTCATATACCACCAGCAGACGGTTGATTTTCTTTTTTTGGTGGTTCAGGTTCTGTAGTTTCCACATCAGAGTGTTGCTCTTTTAAGACTTCTGAAAGCATGTTCCACACCTCGTCTCTCTCAGCTTTTGGAAGGCACTTCACATTCTTAAACCTTGGGATGAGTGCTGTATAGATCTTTAGAAATCTCACATCGGTACCTTCTTTCCATTTTGTCAAATCTGCGTGAATGTGTTCTTAAAACGAACATGTGCTGGGTCATCATCCAAGACCGCTATAACATGAAATATATGGCAGAATGCAGGTAAAACGGACCAAGAGACATATAATTCTCCTCCAAGGAGTTCAGTCACAAATTTAATTAACACATCATTTAAAAAAATGAAGCATTTCTTCTGGAATGGTGGCCGAAGCATGAAGGGGCATACAAATGTTTACCATATCTGGCACATAAATACCTTGCAATGCCGGCTATAAAAATGCCACGTGAACACCTGTTCTCACTTTCAGGTGACATTGTAAATAAGAAGCGGGCAGCATTATCTCCCGTAAATGTAAATAAATGTGTTTGTTTTAGAGATTGGCTGAACAAGAAGTAGGAATGAGTGGACTTGTAGGCTTTAAAATTTTACCTTGTTTTGTTTTTCAGTGCAGTTATGTAATAAAAAAAGCTACATTTGTAAATTGCACTTTCATGATAAAGAGATTGCACTATAGCACTTGTATGAGGTGAATTGAAAAATACTATTTCTTTTATCATTTTACAGTGCAAACATTTGTAATAAAAATAATAATATAAAGTGAGCAATGTACACTTTGTATTCTCTGTTGTAACTGAAATCAATATATTAGAAAATATAGAAAAACATCCAAAATATTTAATAAATTTCAATTGGTATTCTATTATTGTTTAACAGTGCGATTAAAGCTGTGAATAATCGCGATTAATTTTTTTTATCACAATTAATTTTTTTGAGTTAGTAGCATGAGTTAACTGCGATTAATTGACAGCCCTAAATTCAAGCATAGAAATTGTGGAGATGCAGCAGGATAGTCTCTGCTCCAGTTTGTAAAGTATGTTGTAATGACTCTGAGACTGCTGGCAAGTATTTTGCAAATAAAATTATCCTTTAAACTGTTTAATATTTTTCGAGAGTCTTTTTTCAAAAGATGCAAGTCTAAGTGTAACAAATGCCTTCTGATAGCAGGCCTCATCTCAAGATGCTAAAGTTTGCATGCAAGAAAATCCCTTTATTGACTTACAAAAAATACCTAGCATAAGGAATCAAAAGAGCAGTAGAAACACAACAATAAACTAAAACCTGTATTTTGGAAAGCCCTGTGAGTTTTATTAATATTATATCTGTTAAAGTTTAGCAAAATTTTCACATGCACTCACCTGAAAAGTATTCTATAAGGATATAAGTGACCAACTTCCTAGTTCTGTTACTCACCTTATTTTCTTGTTCCCTCTCAGTCGTTCTGATTGGACAGACATGTAGCTTGTGCTGCTGAAACGAGAAGCGCTGCTTGTCCTTGATACAGCTGACACATCACTGACATCACTGTCTGAAGACTTATTGGAAATATTGTCTGAGCCTCGCTGAGGATCCCGTCCTGACCGATACTATAAAAACAGAATGAAAAAGTCACAGACGTAGTCAGTGAAACCATCATAAATCAGCTGTTGGGGCTTTCCCATAACAGTATGTTAATTGACTCCATCACCAAATTCTGCCTGCATTCTTACAATGAAGTTCTTAATTGGTCATACTGTCTGGAATACAAATCTTGTTTTTGTATATCTCAATTATAACCTTACTGCACTACCCAACTCAAGATATTACGTTAAGGTCCTTACCATGGGCCATATGTTCAGTAACTTGTACAATACCTTTCTTCTGATCATTTTCAAGGGCTCTGCAAATTTTAGTGAAGACTCCCAACATCACTGTGAAGGATTTAATTATTATACCTATTTTACAGATGGGTAAATAGAGTCATAGAGAAGATAAGTGACTTGCCCAAGCTTGTTCAGCAAAAAGCACAGCTAGGGATAGAACTCACATTCTAACTGTTAAATAACATTGGTATTCTAGGGAACTATACTGTTTACCTTCAAAATAATTTCTAACAAATATTAACTCTTGTTTACTTAAAAGAAATGGAAAAATGAGATTATTAAACTAAAACTGGGAACAATATTTTAATGTTGTAACCGCAAATTTAACCTGCAAAATGATTTAGATTGGGAATTTTAAAAGATCTTAAGGGAGCTAGTAGCCAGATTCTTTTAAAGTCAGTAAGCACATAAAGATGTAGATAAACATCACACCTTTAAAAATCTGGGCCTAAGCATTTAGCTCACATTGACATTCAAGGTCATGCAGAAAGTTTGTGACAGACCCAGAAATTGAACCTGGGTTTCCTGAGTTCCAGGCCAGTGCACAATCTGCTAAATCATCCTTCCCACACAGCTAGCTATGCTAGGCTGTGGCATAAAGGCCATGGCAAGCCCCAAATCTACATTAGGTATAATCGGTATGATTCTTAAATATAACCAAACTAGTTCAGATAACAGTTAAGATGTTTTGTGAAATTTAGGATGCAGAACCAAAAATAGGAACAGTGTAATTTCTACCCACATAGATTCCAGGCTTTGACAGCTCTGTCCCCTCAGACCTTATAGGGGGAGGTTATATGTATTTAGCCATAAGTTTGGGAGGACACCATACATTTGAATGTCACAGCATTTATTGACTTGTGTTGTAGCCACATAGTCAAACTTTTTTAACTGATAGAATAAAATAAATTCATCTTTACATTCTTACTAAGAAGATCTCCTCTCTGTGTATACTTAGTCATATCTACATATGTCTACTCCATTTGATTTATCTTAGCATTCCAGACCCAATGCAGCTATACTATGGTGAAGTAAATTGGATTATATTTTGGAATTTAAATCAGCAACAGTTGTTAACTAAATTCCAATGACAGGATATTTAATTACTTGTGGTAATGAATGCATTGACACAACTTGACTAGCAGGTCCCATATCAAGCTTGCACCACCAGCAGGGGAAAAAAAAGTATAAAATGAACAAATGAGAATAGCATTAAGTGTAAAGCAGTGCCAGAATTCTGAGAGAGTCACTTTACAGAGTATAACTGCACTTCAAAAATGTTTTTAAAAAACTGTATTAAGGTCATGTGATTTTTTGTGGCAGCCATAATCAAGCCAGAAAGAAGCATAAAGTGAACAATGGGACTCTCAGTTAATAGGGTTGAAGACAACATCCAGCAAACCATTCAAAATGCATTTATATAATTTGGTGCCTTCATTCCACTGCTCAGAGGCATCAAAAAGAGTTGCCCTGGTTCTGTTCCCTGGCTATCAGCCCAATTGATCAGGCTGCTTATGAAGGTCTAAACCATGGCAGGCCCTAAGCATCTGGCAATGGGAGAGAAAGGAGTGAGGACATTCACCCCAACCTTGTGCAGCCAATATAAGGGCTGCCCTGAACTGCAGCCCCCATGCCTCCTAGATATCTGCTCTGGGAAGTACTGTACTTTTCTGAAGCAGAATGTTCTCTGATACTCTCCCCTGGTGGTGAGGCTCTGCAGTGCACCCAGCACAGTGCTGTGCCTAAATGCCACAATTCAGCCCTAGTATTTTTTACTGTTTGTTCTGATTGTTTTTTATAAAATCCCTTACAAAGTTTACGAGATACCCAGTTCTGTAGTGCACGTATATATACGCACACACAATGCGCGCACACAGAAGGAGAAACGGGTGGACAGATATTAAATATGCCCCAAATGTTCACCTCCCTTTTTCAAAATGATTCTAAATCCTCGATTATCTTTTATCATTTGTTATTCTGACAGCTAATAACTGCTCCTATAATACATTTAGGTATAAATTTATAATTGATGCAAGCATGTAAGTCCCACTAGTGTTTATTTTATTTTGATTTATAATAATATATACTAAAAGATACTTTAGGCATCTTTGCAAAAATATTATTGTTATTATAATCCGTCAGTATTACATCATGGGAATTATTTTTTAAAAACAGCCTTCACAGCATAAAAGATCTTTAAGCATAGAAAGGAGAGAGCTACTGTTTAAAATTTATCTGCATGAGTCACCAATAAATCCTGACCACGAACTGACTCCACAGGTTTAGGGAGTCAGGAATTTCATTAAACTCTCTGCAGAATTTCTGTATTTTAGGTGCTCAAATGCATTTGTTCTTCTCTGACTTTCATTAAAATTCTTGCAGTGCCTAAGAGTGCTGACTTCTAGAGGTCACTGATTGAGATGTCTTGCATTCCTAACACGTTCTTGCATTGCTCAATCATACCCTTAGCGATTGCGCCAAGTTCTCCAGTAATCATTGAGATCATCTTTGTTTTAGTTTTCCATAATCTTTCCACTTCATGACAGAGTTCTTCATACTTCTCTTGTTTCTTTTTTATGTTTCTGTCTGCTGGTATTTCAATATCAATTAACACAGTATTGTTTCTCCTCTTTTCTGCAACAACAATGGCCAGCCTTTTTGCCTGCACCATTCAGTCTTGACAATTGCCAGATCAAATAAACTTTTACACTTTTTGTTTTCTAGAGCATTTTCAATTTGGTGGTTGTAATACTGCATGGTTCGTTTAAACCTGTACTTACCACAGAGGCTTCAATGCAGATACTTGGCAACCTCATTGTGTCTGTTCATATGTTCCCTCCCAGCCAGGCTCCTGCAGGTGCTCAATACATTCTCCCCCCTCTCTTTCTTTCTGGAACACATTCTGCAGTTTGGGAAGCAGTTCTATCGGTCAGTTTTGTTTTAAATGTAATGAAGCCTTAAGGACTGCTCTTGTGTACTCATAATGAAGCTTTCTGTCACTCTGTTGAGGAATCCTTTTACAAGCCATGAGATTGTTAATCTTCGATATAATGGCTTTGATCTCTCTCCAACAGTGTCTGTGCACTGATTTCTGTGTAAATCTTTCAAGTCTTTCTTTAGCAGTTTGCTTTTTCCTTTCTTTTATGCTTCTGGGATGCATGTTTGGTCATCACTTGTTATCATAACCAGATGATCTTTTATTCTGTCTGACTCCTCATATAGTTTGATATTATAGACTTCTTTGTCAATTGCTTTCTCCACAGATAGCAGACCTTTTCCTCCATCACATAGTCGGATGTACATCCTGTTGACATCTTGATTGATATTCATTACTCTTTGCATTGCCAGGAGCTTTTTTGTTTGGATGTCAAATTTTGTTCTTCTTTTCTTGATTTCACTTGATCACTCCAGCAGTGTACCATACTATCACAAATTGTTCACATATTAATGGCTGGGATCAAATTCTTTGAGTTCTGTACTTACAGAAGTTCTTATTCAGTTGTAATATTCTTCCTCACTTCTTCTTTGACTTCCTTATATTGTAACTCTGACAATTCCTGATTACCAGGTATTTGTGGGTGCCATGTTGAGAAATATCTTTGCTAGTACCTTTGTTAATTGTATGCCATCTCATTGTACCAGTTTGCTCCTCTTTACAGATGCTGACACACATTTAGACAAGCCACCTCACAGTTTTATATCTTACCAAACTTGTCTACAGTCGTCATCAATTTCTATCTCCTTTGTGACCATCCATATAGTTTCAAATCATCCACATATAAAAAAAAAATAGCTAACTGGTTGTTGCTCTTTGCCGATACAATCACCACAATTCTTCTCATGGAGCATCCATGTCAGCAGCAGCATTGCTATCATGACCAGCATTGGTGACAAGGAATACCCATTGTTATTATTATTACTATTATTAATTATTTGTATTGCAGCACCTTGGAACCCTAGTCATGGATCAGGACACCCCTGTGCTAGGTACATACAAACACGGGACAAAATGGGGCTTGCCTACATGCTTACCTTACAAAATGGGGCTTACCTACTGAAAGGAGACTATATCCCATAGCTTTTATTTTTTCTGCCACTGCTGGTTATGTAAACTAAGGTTTTGTCTGAGAAGGCCTTAGAAATGTTTTGGGAGGAATCTACTGCATATACCTAATTAGACATTTCCCTAAACTTTAGTGCTTCTATCTAGAGCTGAGCAAATCATGGTTTTTTCGATTTGGGGGCTGAACTGAAAAATCGAAAAATATTTCAGTTTGGCTAAAATGGTTTTTCTTGATAAAATTAAAAACGGGGGGGGAAACGGTTTTGGGTTGAATTAAATGTTTTTCCAAGTTTTTGTTTCATTTTGTGTTGGTTTTGAGGTGTTTTCCGTCCCTTACCATCCATAGCTAAATTGTTAAACAAAATGAAACATTTTGAGATTTCCTAAATATTTTTTCCAGTTTTTTTTATTTTTCTGCTGAAACTATTCACTGAATTTGTGAATTGTTTTGGTACCTCAAAAGTACATTTTCCAGTGAATTTATAATTTCCCAATTGTTTTTTGTTTTTTGCCTAATTCAGTTTCTATCTTTCCAAAATATCTAAATCATTCATGCACAATGTGGATCAAGAACAGCAATAATTTCAATTTTAAACAGCCATACTTTAAATATAAGAGCATTGAAGGAAACCATCACCTGATCTTTCTTTTCTTAATCATA